CTTTGCAAGATGAAGGGCGTTACACTCGGAGATCTAGAGAAAACGCTGACAAGCCAAGAACCGATTGTATAAGGAAGTGCTTTATCCTAACAAAAACTAAAACTTTAAAAAAAAAAAGAATTTACGAGTCTTTAAACCCTGTGAGTCAAAGTCAACATGAGTCATAACGTCCCTCTGGAATGAAATGTAAGCTTCCACCGCAACACAGAAAGCTTCCGGTGAAAATGACGGTTACCCCAGTAGGTCTATTTCCGCTCTGATTCTGTTCCCTCACTTCCGCCTTCGTTCTCCTCCCACGCAAAGGGTGCGGCCTTGGTAAACGCCAACAGGTGAAATCTGACGAACGAAGAAAGCAGAACTAAGAAAAACGGCAGTTCAAACCCAGTTCTCCCAACACTCACCTATGGTTAGCTTGACAGGCAGGTTCGCTTTCCATTTATTGGTTTTGACGAGTAATTTGCTGAGTGAGAACTTTTGTCTTTCGTTGACGTTTGTAAAACATTTCACATAGCCGCACCCTATTGTTATGTTATTGAATATGTTTTACTTTTTTGAAACTCACAAAAACAGCACCTAGAAATGGATAGCTGGTACATCGACAGATAAATGATTTGTGATTCAGGTTTTTTTGTTATTGTTCCTTTGCGCGAGAGTCGATATTGTCTGTTTGTCTTCACACCAGCCTTGTTGCACAAGAATTTAAATCGGGTCTGCTCGCCTTATTTATTTATTTATTTATTCAGGTTTTTTTAATTTACTTATTTATTCATGTATTTATTCATTCATTTATTCATTTATTCATTTATTTGTATTCATTTGTTTGTCTGTTCAACCTCCATTCAATTGTTCACTCACTCATTTACTGATCTATAATTTATTTATTTATTCAGGTATTTATTTCTCCAGATTCCCCAGGCCGGTGACAATAAGCTACCCCAAAATTATAAAGTTATATCTGTTCAGTACCTAGTTTTGAGAATTTTTGAGTTCGTAGCATGTCCAGCTTTTTCGAATGCAGTCTTTGAATTCTAGATAACGACTCCGAATAATCTTTCGGTTTTGATAAAGCAAATAAAACATTTGGTTTCAGACCTCACGGCGTAATAACTCAAAACGACCAAAAATGTCTGAA